CTTCGTATAGGCGCAAGGGGCGCTAAATTAAACTTGTCTGTAAGCGATAACGATACTTGGAGAATCTCGCCGTTATCACATTTGCGGCAGTATATATAGACACCTGGCCGATGCTCAAGGTGACGCATCGTCAGGTGTCGAAGGCCGGTCATTTCCTCCTAAGGCAAAAACACTGCATGTATACATTAGGCCGAGGCGAGCGTTTGACGGTCGGGCCAACGCACGTCGATCGTGTTATTGTCTTGCCGCCTCGCCGTTTATTCGACAAAAACGGCGAGACGGCGTACATCGAAAGTCGAGCGTGCGTTGACCCGCGGTCCGCGATTCGGCCGGAACAGGTACAAAGTATAATTAAAATACAAATTTTACCCAAAAAATCGCTCGTTTGTTTTCAGAGCCGCGTATTGTCACTCTTTTTGCATTTTTTTAAAACAGCATTTAAGGCTCGTATGACGCGCGTGATTCTATCACGGAAAAGACTTTGTTTTATTTTTTGTTTTAGACTGGACTTTTGTTTTTTGCTAGACTGCAGAACGATCAACAGCGTCGACCAGTTCATGGAGGAGAAGATTCATGATTCCAGTAAACGTCGATGAAATATAACGAAACGAAAACTGATGTACCTTGAAATGTCAAAAAGTTTTGGCTGTTATTTTAGGACTTTACTTGAGGCTTCCTCCTTAATTTCCAACTGCACGATTCGAGTGTAACGGTGGCTTGTAACACGATGAGCGAAGACGCTTCGGGGCAGAGAACCGCGTTGGAACGCGTTTGCATACGCGACCGCCGCGGAAAATCTCGCGGACGTGCGAGTCACTGGTTTAAATTGAAGTAAACGCGCGATTAGTTCGGAACAAAGGAATCCCAAGCATTCGTCACCGCTATCTCCCGCAGCTATTGAGACCTCAGCGTGCCACTGACATGAAAGAATTCGCTGGCGCGGCTTCTCCTCGCATCGCTGCGGATGCAAATTCATACGGGAATGCGAGCCGTGATTTTTGCTTTTCTCGCGGAGGCCGCGAGTCAACGGAACCCGCGTCCAAGTTCTGGTGAATCGCGGAGACTTCGATGCCCGGACGCCGCATTCCGCCATTGGCGCGCGCGGAAATTACGGATTCGCGAATTCCACGTTTTAGACGGCTTTTAGTTGGCCAATCGGAATTCCGATTTCTAGTTATTAGCTACGGCTACGGGCGATCTACCACATTCTTCGGATAGCTGGCATCGTGGCCTTAAATCGAAGCGCTTCTGATTCCAAGATGGCGGGGACTCGCGGTAAACCAAAGTCAACTTTTCGATTTTGCACAAGCTACGTATTCTATCTAAGAAAGTATAATTCTCGTAGATTTTCTTAGGTGGCAGGTGGACTCTGGTAGCGGTGACTAGACGGCGGATTTTTATGCAAAATGAAAATTGTCTGCATCAACTGCAAAATATATAAAACATTCAATTATTTTCTAAACAATTTTAATAGGTTGCGAATAATACAATAATGTTTTTAAATTCTCTAAATGTGTGCTTTTCCCATTTTAAGATTGATCTACTCATTTTTGTCATAAGTGCACACCATCCGCTGTCTAGTGATGACTTTGGTTTTTGGTTCTTCTTACACCACGGTTGAACTGAGACCAAGGTCAATGTTTTTCGATGTTTTACATGGCAAATATAGCATCTGACGAAATCCTCCCATGACTAAAATTAGTCTGACACAGATGGATTCAGATCATAGTAATTGACTAGCCTTTGTTTGAAACGTGATCTCATTTCTTTCTGATTTTAAGATTGCTTAGACTTTTTAGTATCGTGTAAGATGAACATTGCATCCGTTTAATTGGATATTTTTGTAGAACTTTCTCAGGATTTCGGGTGAATCGATGGTCCGCGTTTATACCGTTCGTGTTTGACCGGTTCAGAGTATCCCCTGCAAGGGGTATTGCACGTTGAACGAAGTCTATTATGGCAGTCACAAAGAGACGATTCCAAGCCTAAATTGGTTTCGTCAGTCGTCGATTTGTCCGCCGGTGCAAGCGACGAAAGGAGTTTCTCCAATCAACGAGGCGATCATCCAGTTAGAGAAAAAACGAAATGCAAATTGACGGCCATTCCGTGTCGTCGTAATTGATGCTTTGCACAATATAATTCCTTACGGTTTGCGACTTCTTCCAATTTATCGGCAATAACTTTGTAAGAAACACAATTTGTATTTTACCTGTTCGCGATTGACTAAACTGGGAGAATTTGAACGACCCAATTCAAATTGTAAACCGTTCGGTTATGCAGTGGAGATTATTCAATGTCACGAGGAGGAGCGAGTGAAGAACAAGACGAAGAAATGATGGTCGACGTTTCATTGAAACTGACGAAAGAGATTCGACTGAACAGCAGTGGAAAAGGGCCTAATTGTGAGCGAGAATTGGTCGACCCGGGAATTCAGGCTTCTCAAACTGCTCCGCCTTAATTTGGGAGCCGAAACCTACAATTTTCATTGTCGACGCTGCTCATTATTCCTCGATTTTGCAAGAGATCCGCGGCCGTACGACATTATGCAATTTAACGGCGAGGAGGCTGCTCGCTACTCTTTCTTTTATAAAAGCCAATCAACCAGCTCGTGTAATGCCAAACCCGGCAACGACCGTCCTCGAATCTTCCCATCGAAAAACAGTCTTAACCAAAACAATGTTTCGCTCCCTGTTTATCTCTCCTCTTAGAAAAAAATGTATGTGAGGAAAAAATGTTTTTTTCAGGTATTGGTCTTCATCTGGGAGTACACATTTTCATATTGTTATTTTATTTACTTGCTAAGTCCAGTTACATTATAATCCTTGATAAAAAAAAAAGAATGAATAGTTTGTTTTATGCTATTGCAAAATTGTTATATGGTTCTTATAATTACTTACTAGTTGAATTATAATGTGTAGTAAAAATGCTCGCATGATTTTACATGACGTCAACACTCTATTATAGTTCAATAAAGCATATTAAATTTTTAACATGCATTTTTGTAAGAAACAGTACTTATTTTCTAATTTCAATAGCAAAGATCATTGTTCGTATGCTTATCAGTTACTAAATCCCGTAAACAATTAATGAAATAGTTATTAGTGGACAACAATCGAAGCTACAATTAATAATTATTTATAAACAAGGTTTGTACTTACCTCATTCCTCCTCCAAGTCATCCAATGTTCTTAGAGATTGAAGCACAAGTACAATGTCCTTGAAATTGATCCACGAAATTCTTTACAGTTTCAGCAACATAACACATTCATCTAAAATGAGAAACATATTGATAATAATCTTAGTAATATTTACGAGCATTCCTTTCATTCTATCAGTCTATCTAGTTGTTCTCAATAATTTATCAAATTTATTCAAGGTATCTCTCGAGCTCAAGGATTACAATAACCTCATCAATTATCCTGACTCCACTTTATTATTGAACACCAGACTGTTATAACTGCAACCTAGAATACAATAACGGAGAAATAATTTTAATATATGAGAATACGTATTTCAACATCAATATTACTTACTTGATTCTGCTTTAACGTTGTGCAATTTTCAAATAAAGTCGTTCAAGCGCCGGTTTTCAAACTGGTTGACGATAGTCGATACAAATTAATTTTGTTCACTAACAGCAGCACCGTCGCGTCCCCTGTTCCGTTATTGGCTGTCGATTCCACGGACAAAAGTAACTTCCTGTCACATACAGATGTCACTGACTACACAGAGAATAAATACTATAAGATACATAGGTTTATGTTTATCTCCATTTGAGTCTCAGAGGTCATTGAAAAAAAAAACACGGTCGAAAAATACCGAACAGCACGATAGCGCTTGCTTAGTATGCGTACTATTAGTTTATAAATATTTCAAATTTTGTTCGACAGAAATTATTGAGAAGATAAAAATGAAATACAAAATGTGTTAAATGTATTATTTATATTTCAAAAAGCAGCTGTGCGATGTACGTGCGTCAGTAAAGTTGAACGCTCTACTTTAAGTGCACTGTCAGTTGTCCATAGCGTTTAAATGTTCTGGGACTTTCCGACATCAAATTTTACACAGCGCGATCACGCTGCTTGGGACTCAAACGGCTATACCTGTGAATTTTTCCAGAACCGATTTCCAACGCGCATGTCTATGAATGTCATTCCATACTGAATGCAGTCCCAAAACTCTGCAACTTCTATCACAAAATTTTATTTCATTAGTCACACAAACATATCACATATCATTCTCATTTTTATATCGAAATTACATGAATGCAAATTAGAAACATAAATAATAAAAGATTAATAGAAACTAAATAATAAATAATAAATAAATAAGAAACATAATTATATTATATATAATATTATATTATATTATTATATTATAATATATAATATTATAATATAATAATATATAATTATATATAATAGAAACATAATTATATATATATAATAATATTAGAAACATAATACTCTCTTGTGCTATAAACCCTATTTACCCTTAAAACAACAGCTATTACAATTTATGACGCTGTTCTTACAAAATTCAGTTTTCATTCAAATATTATTAGTAAGTCATAAATAGTTATTGATAGAAAGAACGTTTGGAAGCCAAGCGTGTACGTTATAAGTTCGAATAATACATCACTAATGGTATAGGCTTTCTGCTTACATTTTCAACATAATTCCACTTCAATTTGAAATGTACAAGTAGCAGTACCAACGAAATGCTCCTGTTTGTTTAAATATAAAATCTATGGCGACACGAGTGCTCTCGTATGGTGAATTTTGGAAACTCGGTTACAGAACGCCATAGTGGCGTCCTCACCTAATTCGCGTTGCGTTCTGCGTCGGCGTTATCGCGTGAAGTTGTAACGTGATAATATAGTAGAGAAAGGACAGCTGTGTATGCTGTGCATGTAAATAATACGAACGCAATCAAATTTTCAACAATATTTATCACTATACGATGAATTTCCTATGACTTCTTTCTGCCAAACGCCTTACCCGACAGTTGAAAATATATTGTTAACATTGTTGTATTGTCCCGCGTTTTATTTAAATTTTATTCTCGGTTTTTCATTATCGATACTCTGTACTCTAAAGTTCAGAAACTACTTCACGTCAAAACTACTTGCACACGCACGCGCTTTGTTAATCGATTCTCGAAAAACGCCGGAGTTTCGCCTCTGTACAAGTCCTTTGTGGTTAAGTGACATTACGTTTATTATTTTCCTTTTTTCATAGCACCTGATAGCACCACTCCTCTTTTTAACCGGTAAACCATTTCGAAGAAATGTCTGCGCTAAACAATATCAGCGTAGCGGTAATATGTTCTAGCAATATGAACCGAAGCATGGAAGCCCATGCCTTCCTCAGGTAATTAGTCCCGATGACGATCATCAAATGAGCTAAAAAACTAAGTTATAAAAACTCAGGAACCTATTTGTCACACTGATCTTACTGTTCTTTTTTTTTCAGCAAAAAAGGATTCAACGTGAAGAGTTTCGGGACAGGGGACAAGGTCAAGCTTCCCGGGAACGCCCCGGATCGTCCAAATATTTATGATTTCGGAACGTCTTACGACGAAATCTACAATGACCTTTTAGCGAAAGACAAGCAATAGTATCCTATCTAATCAGATAATCATATTATTCTTCTCTTTCAGGCATGAAGCATGAGGCAGTAATAACTTCCAGGAAACACTCTTTCCAGTTCTCTTTATTTTTTTACATTTATAGCATTTATAATAAATTGTCGAAAAGAAATATATACATTGTTATAGTATAAGTCTGTATAATAATTGAAACTAATTCCTTAACAATAATATTAGCTACACACAAACTGGTCTGTTATACATGTTGGACAGAAATCGTAGAATTAAACCTAAGCCAGAACGATTTCAATTGTCCAAAGACAAATTTGATATCTTAATCACATGTGAGGAACGAGTATACGATCAAGTGATTGAATGTATGGAATCCAGACCTCAGGAGGATAGCCAACCTGCGCACCTAATTAATATCGATATCCAAGATAATCATGAGGAAGCTACAGTTGGATCATTTCTCATTTGCGAATTAGTCACTGGGGTATTTGAAAAATTTCTATTTTTTTAATGTCTGTAAGATTGAGCAACATCTCTTTGTATAATAATTGAATTTTAATGTTGCAGCTGGCCAATAGCAAAGACCTAGACAATGACATAGACGAAATGCTTCATGAATTTGAGTCGAAGTTTGCAAGAACGATTCTACACACGGTGCTTTTCTATTGAAAGCTCTGTAACATGCCTGAAACCTGATGTTCGCCAATGGACTTAATTTATAAAAAAAAACTAAATCATAGCTAACAAAGCATAATTACCACATATTCTGGCTCAGATTATGTGGAACGAATTTCACTGATGACAAGGAGAAATTCGATCCGTGCTTCCTATTTAATAAATCATTGCTTTCCATGGGATATGTTTCAGAAATCTGCTGTTTACATTATACCTCTGATCGTTAGCGAAGTGTAAAAGCAAGATTTGCGGTCGCGTTTGTTCGACGACATCGAACGTTAGTTATGTAAGAATGGGATAGGAAAACGAAATATAAAGGACATAAAATATGAAATATTTTAATTGTATAATATATACGCATATAAGCAAAGCAGCAAATTATTCTTATATGTGTATGTATTTTATTGTTAGAATGTACTTGTGATATTTAGAACCAATATGAATCTCTGAAAGATTCACATAACAACTCAGAGATTTGTATGTTACAAAATACGATCCGCTGTTATATAGCGAAAAGATCTTCAACTCGAACAGTTCAAAAAGCCGGTACAGTGTTAATAATATCCACCAATCAGTGTTGATCAAGATGAGCGTACAATCTTCTCGTTTTTTCACGTTTCTTTTTATTCGAATGTTTGTTAATCTTTTTCCACGGTTTTTCTTCAACTAACAAACTCTGCATGGAACCAAGTACCGATCCTGTATCACTGGAAATTACAAATTGCCGAAATATAAAGGACATTCGTACGAACGCTCTATTACTTATTATATATGAATTATTATTGTCAATAATTATACATGGATGACTTTATTGAATAATAAATATACAATAATGTTACATACCTAGAACTACCACGGTACACACCATGCATCCTTCCTATCATCCCCTTAGTATGTACATTCGAAGAATTGTTTTGAAAGAATACTTTATCTACATCCTCGGAGCTAGTCTTACTCCCTTTATTAACACGTATTGTCCTAGCTGGTAAATGTTTATTTACAGGAGTATTTCTCCTTCTTGGAGGGAATGTGTGAAATTTTTCTTGCTCTAACGTCAACGGTGCAACGCAATACAACAGTTTACCATTTACAAAATCCTTTAAAACATAACGCGCTGATCGTGGATTGTCTGGTTGTCCGTTTTGGGTCATGAAACCTCTATTATCTAAAGTTAAAAGAATCATCTGATAAGATATTGTGATGCGTTACAAAGGATCTGTAATAAATGAGAATTGAACAACTCTACAATAAACTCAATCACGTACATCCATAGGCATTCAAAATTTCTTCCGCGGTTGGAGGGCGGTCAGGGTCTTCTCCTTCAATAGGTAAAGGTAGCATGATGCCATAAAGGTCTTCTATAACGTGCCTTGGTATTAAAGTTCCCAATAATGTGATTGGTGGAACATGGTCCCTCATCTGATCAATTGGCAAAATACCATTCAAAACCATTTCTGCTTTGGTGCAAACGAAACTTGGCATTACTAAACCAGGACAATCGCAAAGAAGTAGATCCTTATCCAGGAAAAGTGTTTGAAAGTGTTTTGTCTTGCCTGGTGTCGCAGACACTGATACTTTTTTGTCCATTAATAGAGCATTAATTGTAGAACTTTTACCTACATTTGGATATCCTACTAGACCAATTGTTGTAACACCTTTAGTGTATGTCTCACCTTTGTAAATCGTTTTGAAAAATGATACCAACTGATCCCTGCTTAATAACTCTGAGGAGTTTTCTACCTTTGTGCTTTCTGCACTATTAGTTTCTTCATTCACTTCTTCTATAGAAGAATTTAGTGGATCTAAATAATTTTCTTCAGGTTCTGAATTTTCTCCAGTTTCTGCTTCAGAAATTTCATTCGTGCAATCTGTATTGTCTAAACTGCAACCATCATCTGCGCTTTCATATTCACTTTCATCATCTGTATCTTCCTCTTCTTCGTCCTCAAGATTTTCCTCTTCTATTGTCTCATCGACCTTCTGTCCTTCGGCTGCTAACGTAGCAGAAAAAAATGCAACTCTAACATTAATATCTGAAAAGTACTTTGCCCATTCTTTTCGCTGTTCCTCTGTTAAAAAATCTGCCTTATTAATTAATATTATGTTCATTTTCCTAGGATCTACTTCTTTGACATAGCTTTCCAGATCTTCGCACCTGAAAAGCAAAGGATTCCGTGCATCAACAATCTGAACAACAACATCACTACGTTCCACAACTCTCCATAGTTGCCTCCAAAACTCCAGGTTCTTTTCGTAAGGTGTTAATATTAGCTCCTCAGCTTCTTGGAGCAGAGACAGAGTGCGCCTCCATTCTAAGAAATGCTCCTTTTCTTTGGCTTGTAACTCCTGAGCCGTAGTGGTAGCATCCCACTTTGGTCTTCTTGGGATTTTGAGCAGACCTTCATTCTTCTTCTGTAAGTCCAAAACCTTTTCCTTTTCATCTTTTGAAAGCAATCCGATTCCGCTCTTCGGATTTACAAATTTAATGTTCAATTTTTCCGCTTGAAATTCTGTTCCAGCTAATTCTGCGGTTGAAAGGAATTCTTGGAAAGAACTTTCTTCCGTGACAGATTGGAGATTAAGTCGTCCCCAATCGTAGCCGTCATTCAATGAAACGCTGTGGATCTACTTCAAAATACGATTTATAAACAATGAAACATTTCAATCACATGTACCGAAATGCGAAAGGTTATAAGTTAAAGCCATTACCTTACCATAGTCATATCATCGCGCTTTTTATGTTTTACAGAACCAAAACGATCCCTAATTAATGCTTTTCCTAAATTTCCAGCTCCAAACTTTTCTTTTTTCCCCATTTTGTAGAAATTTCTGTCTTTTTTTAAGGGACCATAACACGAGGTTAGCTTCTATCACAACAACACCACCACCAAACGTCGGAAGTAACGGAATTGCGACGAACAAAATGTCAATAATTATAATCTACTTAATATAACAACAAATGCAGATAGTTCTAATATAATTGAAAACATATATATTCGAATTTAATTTGACATACTGGGTGGAATGTTCAGGATAGAATTAAAATATATATTTATGCATTATACATTTGAACTATATAGTATATATGTAGTCAATTAAACGTATATCTACGATATTTATACATAAATTAAATCTGGGACAGAGCTTCAATTCGAATGATTCTTGCGTCTTACTCAATTTTATTAATAACTGATAGGTAAACTGTTCTGGTTCACAGTTTTTCATTCTTTTTTTTCATATTTTCGACGACCAGCAACAATTATGAAACGTTCGACATGCTTCACATGCTTCCTTCCTTCGCTTTTTTTCCTTTTCCGCGCGCCAAATCGATTCTCAAATCGAAACAAGAAAGTTCTTTCGCAAGGCAGCTTGTGAACAGATTTTTTCTTCGAGACAGCATGGTGTCATTGGTTATATATTATATTACAATTCTTGCGATCCCGTACGTCTCGTAGACAATTCGTATATTCTGCGCGACAGTTACAAGACGCGGAGAGGTCGCGCTTACATCAATGAGGTACCTCCCGTATTTAGAAATCTAGCCGTCTAATAATGAATAATCAGTCGCTTCTCTGGAAAAGGACAGCTGTCCCAAATAAAGTTCCTTGAAAAAAAATATATACTTTCATTCAAGCACATAACGTCCGGTTCTTTAACAGAGAGTACAAAATGGCTCGCAACGCGCGCGTCCAATTTGGGTCATTATTTTACACTGCGATGCTTTTACAAAGTACCACCGTCCGACAAATATGATGTTTTCGTCGGAAACTGTATAACCTGCATGAAGCACCGGTCCACATGCGGTGCGAACGGTAGTCTATCAACGTTTACACACCAAGACCTTTCCTCGTTCGTCTCAATAGTTATCTCTTCCTCGGATACCACGTGGTTGGTCGCCATCGCGTCCTCTACCGCGGTTGTTGTACCCACTTCTGCCCATATTATTGTCGTTAGGACCCCGATTCATGACACGATTTGGTCCAAGCTTATTCCCGAAGTTACCGAAATTCGAATTAAAATTATTTGGCGCATTCTGTCCAGGGTTCTGACCCCGGAAACCCGGGCCGAAGCCGGGTCTGTCGAAATTCGGGGGGCCGGCGTTGGGCCCCCTGAAATTTGGCAAACCTTGAAAGCTATTGCCAAACGGTCCCTGATTTGATCCGAACAGAGGTAACGGGCTTGGCCTGAAGTGCTGATTCGGACCGAAATTACCGTTTGGTGGCCGGAAGTTGGGACCAAAGTTTCCAGGCGGTGGCCCATTCGGACCGAAACCGGGATGCATGTTGGGATGATGCATCATGTGCATAGGACCGTCCATCCCTTGCATTCCAGGATGCAAGGGCTTATTCTGCATTGGATGTTGAGACATATTCGGGTGTGGCACTAAACTCGGAATCGGAGGGGGCATGTTGGGATTAATATTTTGCATATTATGGTGACTGGACATGTGGGATATACTGTTGCTTAAATGGGACATATTATTACTGATGCCGGGACCGATGCCCATCGGCATGTTATCACGTTTATCAAAGTTGTTAGAGAAACTACCATCCCCTTTTCGAGCGCCGTCGTTCATCGATTTTTCATCGTCCCACCGCGAGCTACCGTCGCGATCTCTGTCGTCGTAAATATCGTTGTCTAAGGGTTTTTTCAAGGGGAATCCGTGCGAACTCCTGAAATCTTTGTCGACGTAATTACTTCTTACATCGTAATCGGAACGAGAGCTAGGCCTGCCGGGTCCGCTGGATATGTTGAATCGCAAGTCTTCGTCGCCACGGTTCATGTTTCTAGCATTATCACCATGAGGCAGCTTCCTGAGATCCTCGTCTTGTCCGGCGTGGAAAGAGTTATTATCGTTCGAGTGCTGGTTCCCTTTGCTACAAGTGTACCTTAAATCGGTATCACTGGATTGCGAATCTTCAGTCATTACACCGCCGAAAACGGGCTGATGTATCTTGGACGTCCTGTCGCTGGCTCCACCGTCGCTCCAACCGATCAGCTGATCGAATTTCCGTTTTCCACCACGATTTAAAGTCTTAAGTAGTTCAGGGTTTTGTGCGAACTTAGAACTAGGTAACGGTGGAGGAAGTTCGATGTCAGGAACCTTGGAATAATCTATGTCGCCGTCGTCCTGCAAAAATTCATCCGCCTCGTCCACGTTGTCCGGTGGACCAACGACGTCCCGTAGCTCTTCTACTTCGCCAGAGAATACTAATTTATTTATAGCATCGTTTCCTTTGCTAATTGCCTCCGCTAGCTTGGAACCAGCTACAATGTTTAATAACATTATGTAATTATAGTTATGTACCTATTTAGCGGTGAATGAAAAATGGTACTCACGTTCAACAGGAATCATTTTCCCGTACAATATAATACCATTAGGTGTGACTTCGTTCAGAGGCACTGCTCCTGGCGTAGTTTCGATCAACTGATTCACGAACGCGTTTAGTGCCTCGACTTGTTCCATATCTTCAGCTTCCATTTCATTCCACTGTGCTTGGAAGTTTCGTGGAATAGGTTTACTATACGGTACCTTCTTGTTCGCAAATTTCTTCCCTTCGTCAACAGCATGATCCAAATCCAAACCTGGAATTCCACCGCTTTTGTCTTCCGGTTCGCCGTCAGCGTTGATTCTGTCTTCTGGTCCCATACCAGGTATTACAGCCGCTTCGTCAGCTACAAGATACATGAAATAAATAGTGATAAAAATCCTTGTACCGCATAAATTGTAACGTACCTATTTCATGATCGTCAATACCAGCAGATCCCGCTGGTAACGTGTTGAGATTATACTTATCTCTCATCAAGTCACCAGGCCTGTTCCGTGTCCAGAACTTTGAAGTATGGTCATTGCTACCGGAGCAAAGTATATGTCCTAATGGGTGCCAAGCTAACGTCCAAACTATGCTGTCGTGAGCTTGTTCTATAGCACCCACTTCTTTGTCGGCTCTAAAAATTAATTACATTACATGTAGCTCGTAAAAGGTGAATAATGAATAATGAATTGTGGAAGTAATTAGAAGCATACCCAACATGCCAGAATAAAATAGCGCCATCACTACCGCCGCTACAGAACAGGCCTTCATGACTCGGATGCCACGCGACACTAGAAGCTTCTTTCTTATGACCACGAAACGTTTGAACTTCTTGGCTTAGGTTCCTGAGATCGAATAACTTGAGCAAATGATCTCGTGACGCAGTTACCAACCAGTTTCCATTTTCATTCCATTTCACGTCCATGACTGTTGACTTATGAGCATGTAAAGTTGCGAGCGACTGACCAGTCTTTGGATCCCATAATTTAACCGGTTGCTGGTTGTCCTTGCTCCCAGAGATGACTAGACTTTTTTGAGGGTGCCAGTGCACACATTTTACATCGGCACCATGACCTAGGCAAAGGTTGAACGAATGAGTTCCTTTTCATGCTAATTGAATTACTATTCTAGAAATACTTTATTTATATGTAGACGCAGAAAATATAATTACTCAATTAATATGTAATATGATATATACCTCTCAGGATGCGTTCTTCATGACACCGAAGAAAGTCCCATATTCTCACAGTTCCATCATCACTGCATGTTGCCAGCTTATGATCCGTTGGACTGAAACTACCCGCCCAACAAACAATAGTTATATTCAAACAATAGGCTGTTATATGTTTATAAAACATTTCTTTATTTGCAAAAGTTTATGACGAAAAGAAGACTTTGAATGAAACAATTATTATAATAATATGCATCTTATTCTCATTGTCTCATATTAGTAATAAATATTAAAGAATTACATAGTACAATGAAGAATTGACTGGGCTTTATTGAGTTTTATTGAAATTATCTTTTTACAAGCGCATTAAATTCGAAATGATAGGAATTAGACCGTGAGAAGTATTTATTGAACTCAGTGGGTCATTTGGTACACCTTGCGGACATTATTATAACATGACTTCAGGAGATGATTACTGCAAATTTAATTGAAAGCTTACATTTATTACTGATTCGTCATTCTGTTCGTTAAATAAACACTATCGCATGCAATGTTTATGTATGTATGGAACAAGCAAAGAATATTATATTTTGCTTTTATCTTCGTGGTACCTGAGAAAGAAGTTATACATTTCCGTATCTACACATGCAATCTCAGTAAAACCTAAATGATGTTTTATTTATAAGTTAATTTCAATTAGTGTAACATAATGTAATTTTTTTTAACTAAATTGTTCGTAAAAAAATAAATGTATAAGAAGCTGTTATTATTGATGATTTTTATGTATCATTCCTCCTATTAGTGTAATCAATTTATGCACTGAAAACGCGTCTAACAATGTATTAAAATGTGCAAATGAAGTTTATTTTTCGATCAATTTCAAAAAGACATAATGTTTTGTGAGAATATGCATAGTGGATGCCGTAACAAGTGCACCTCGAGGAATCGACAGACATCAGTAATAAAAGGAAGATCTATGTGTAAATATTATAAATAAACAAAAAACCATCTTCGACAGTCATATCTGGCACTCAAGCAAAATTCATCGCTCATTAAGCAACAAATGATATCATTATATGGTAAGATTAGAATCTCTTTTTGTTGCCACATGACCACCGAGTGATACACCAAGAGTAATATTTTTTAAAAATTTAACATTTATTGCACAAAAAAAATGTCCGAAGTGTACATGAATTTCATTATATCTCTCTGCTAGTCTCTCTCTCTCTCATCTGCAAAAGGGCACAAGTGACACAAATCGAAGAAAAAATACTTTATTATCAGAACCATGTAATACTGAAATGTCTTTATTCAACTTTATTGAAACTTGGATGATGTAAGGACACAGGATATTTATCTTTATTAGAATTCAATAGGAGTCTCGACTAGGAATCACTGTATATATTTCTTTTCTGTTTATTGGTAACTATAGAATATACATCTTGACCCACAGCCTGACTATATAAACTCACACCAAGAGCCATAAGGACCTAATTTTACTTTCTTTTACTTCTCGTTTGGACTATTTTACATAGGACAGTGTGAAGTAATGATAGGTTTTTCATACTACAATATAAATGAACGTATAGATCGATTTAGGTCCCTAAGACTTTAGGAGCACAAATGAGATTTTTCATATTAACACACGTACAACATAGTTGACAGAAGAGTTTATTCCTTGCATATTAACTTCGAATATTATGATCCATAGAGATACAGAGAATTTGAAAAAAATTTGGCCTAGTACCACATATTCAATTCAACCAAGAATGGCTAATACATTTATTGGGGCAGTAATTAGCAATTGGAGCAATAATTGGAGAACTACTTGCATATGTGTAACATCACATCCTGTTTATGTATATCAAATAGTATTTACTCACGTAGACTTCTCCAAAACTAAATTTGCTTATAAAATTTATCAAAAAATAAAATTTTTGTTTTTGTAATCGTCTCTACTCGCGCGAATAAAGATACTGCAAAATATAAAAATTGAATTTCCGTCATAAAACTCGTCATGGAGTTATTTATTCGCACATTTCCGATGCGCCTCATATAAGAGAACTTTTCAAAAACTACAAAATCTCTGGAAATCACCTGTGTACCCATACAAGAATTTCTATTGTCATAGCAGAAGAGTCATGAAACCAGAGAAGGAAGAGAATGAGAGTCATGTCCAGTATCTTAACTACAGCAAGGATGGACGGATCGTCTATAACAGTGGCGCAAGAGACGTAAGGACTAGTGTGGTGGATGGTATACCTGAGTCCTCTAATAGCTTCTTTGTGAGCTTGAAACATCTTGACGTTGTTCATGTTGCTCTGCCAATACTTCACGTAGCCTGCATGATCTCCTGTAACCATCCAGCTCTCGTTGTGTGACCATACCATTGTCCTCACTGGACTATCATGTGCCTGCACAGAAAAATAATAATTTTAGTCAAACATATCTGAATTTGGTATATACATTCAAATTTTAGAGTATTAATCCTGATGATCTTTACCCTAAGAAGTTTAGTGAATAAATATTCTAAGGAATACTGACAAATTTTAATGTATTGTGCAATATAAATTATATTGTATATAATATAAATCATAATTAGAATATTGTATATTAAGCACATATATATATATATATATATATATATATATATAGCATACCTGTAAAATAGTTTCAAAATTAAAAGTAAGGCCATTCCATAGAGTAAACTCTCCGCTGGATGCACCAGTGACCAGGCGTCTGCCCTCTGGTGTCCATGCCATACAAAAGATAGGGCAACGCATTTTATTTGTTGCAGTCTTCACAAATCTTGTCGTGACTGCATTTATTGGATTGTCAACATAACTGGGTGGTGGGAGTAAGTCAGGATAATACATTACATCTGGCTGAAGAGCACGTCTGTCCCGATAGTCCCTTTGCCATACTCGATTCTATGCACATAAGATCCACTTCATTAGACCTTTTTATCAATGACTCAATGGAATTTGTACATCAAATTAAGGATCCTACCTCTAAGCTTTTTATAATAGCAGAATTATAATCAACAGTTTTGCGCATAACAGATTTTCTAAGTCTTTTCCCATCAAATTCATCTTGCAAACTATCTTGACCAGCAGCAACAATTTTGGGAGCATGGTATGGTCTGAATGGTTTAAAGAAACCACGAGCTCCATCTCTGTGATTAGTGTATCGATGTTGATAGCTCCCAGATGTATTGATGGTAGTTAAATTGGGAGGTGGAGCTGATAAATTTGGAGTTGCAGGTGGTGGTACCGACATATTAGGTAAGCTTATAGCTGGCGGAGGATTTGCGAATTGAGTATTTGCAGACATAATGAAATAATTTATAGTATGCTATATTCAATTCAAATATATAAAAAAAAATATAATCTAAATGGGTAATACGGGACAAACATATTTGTTGCTTAATATTTCTTAACGTTGCTATGATGAGCCCATTGCAGTTAATAATTCTGTAAATAAAAATAAAATATAGCTTTAATTAGCATTTTATCAAGTATATATAATTCTTTTTAAATTTTATTAAATTTATATAGGAACACGTTTCGTAAATTCTTTTTTATTACATTTATTTATATATATATAATATGTGTATGTGTGTGTGTCATGCAACACATTTCCAAATTAACAAATGAGGAAAAATAAAATAAAATTCTGATTTCAGTATTTTTAAAGCAATATTGATTAAAGAAAAGAAACACTGATAGTTTTAACCAATCGTTAATAGTACAATCATTATAATTTTTGAAAACCTTTAATTCAAACGTACATCTATACTCCAAACACAAGAAGAGACAAAATGTACTTTCACAATATGTGAAAGTAAAGTACCGAATTTTTATCAATAAAAAAGATTCATACTTTATTTATCCATATTAAAGCAAGTTTAACTTGCTCCTGTCTGATTTATTATTGCGTAATTAAGTATTCAAAACTCAAAAATGATCGATTAAGCCTGCTTCCACTGAAATTGGAACGCTATCGAAGGTTAGACTATAATTTTCTAAAAAAGGGAAAGCAACTCAACGATCGAAAATGTTATAGAAATTAAAAATTTGTTGCAGCGATAAATAATGAAACATGTTTAGAGAAACTGATAAACCACCTGCTCATTAATTGTGAACAAATTTTCTTTGATGCTGTTCCACTGTAAAACCCTTGAAATGTACACAACCACTTTCTTGCACCGAATGTAAAAATATATTTTCGAACTGACTAATTGAACATACAGATTCAAGCAATTATTATTTAATGAGGGTATCGATCACTAGGGAGTATCTACTTCTAATACGGAAATTTAAACACAACAGGCAAACAGTAGGAAAATTGTGTCCGCTATGAACGCCATTACTCCTCTGGACGATGACATCCGTTTTATACGTCTCCACTTCCGTCGGTGGTTTTAGGGAATTAAATTATGGTATTTATTAAAAAATTAATATTATATGTTAAAAACAATCAGTACATGCCGGAAATGGTGAAAAATATACTGCTTGAACATTTTTTTCATTTTCAAGATAATATAGAAAGCATATTGAACGATGATAGGGACTTTTAAGTCTTTCTTCAGGTCTTTCTTCTTTTAGGGACTTTTAGGTCTTTCTTCAACTTGCGATGTATTTTTAAATTTTATATTTTGAAAATTACAAGCGATTGGAATGGATTAATTATATACGTAAATAGAGTTTATACTGTATTTGCTGAATCATATAAAAAAAGACATTACATAGATTTTTTACAGGACGCAACATCTGTTAAGTTATTAAAATTAATGCAAACTTCACATCATTCAAAACAAGCAAGAAAGAAAAAGCACTACTCTTGCATACCCCCAAGCTGCAGCTTGATCCATTAGCGAGGGATCGTATAGAAATTTTCTTTGCTTTAATTGCCTGACGATTCATTACTGAGACAGGATCCACTGCGGATTGGATGCGAAGTAAAATAATAGAGATGTATGAGCCAGCTTAGGGAGTAAGAAAAGCGTACAGGAGTAGGAGGAGGAGTAGGTAGTAGGTAGTAGGTAGGAGTAGGTCCTAAGAGTAGGTTACAGTCAGTGATAGCGTTATACGTGACTATGATCGTATGCGAGATACGATCGTCTATATAAATCAAACGATTTTAGATCTCCACTTCTAAAAATTAGTAAATTGTCTAACACATAACAGAAACAATAGATTTCGATTGTGTGGGGAAATACGATTACATATTAACCTATTGACATTTTTAAGAGACAGCGAGAGGAAATTATAAGAAAGAATTATAAGTAATGGGTGATGGATGCAAAATATCAAAACTTCCTCATCATATACAACAGAAGCTTTGTAATACAAGACCTCCTTATAGACAAGGGAAAAGGTTAACATCCGTGAAGGTAGCATTGTGGACTTGTATCCTATTCAATATAAAATAACAAAATACTTTTGTATTAGGTCTACCGGTAAGTTCTGTCCGTTTTTGAATTGAAATATAACACAATTTTCATACATTTAATAATATTTATTGTAGAATATACTTTCCATCGTTACTTATGTCTTCTTGTCAGCGTGATGGTAACTTGTAAATGCCACTTTTAAAAAATGATTTATTTTTAGAGGCGAAGAACTCAACTAGTGCTTGGTTGACGTCAGCTTCAGTTTTGATTTTTTTTTTCCTGTAAAAAGTTTTGCAAAGAGAGAACCAAGTGATAATCGGAGGGTGCTAGGTCTGGGGAGTATGGTGGATGCGACAGAATTTCCCAGTCCAGCTCTGCGATTTTCTGACGTGTCGCCAAAGCAGCATGTGGTCTGGCATTATCATCGGTAGCCATGTTTTCATGATCGCGTCTCACTTAATAATGACATGAGACATCTTTGTTTTAGTTTATTTAGGAGAGTACATGTGTGTAAATGCAATGATAAAGAGAGGTAGTCATATATGTCTCAAATCAACATGTGCATATGGATTGAAACTTGAAGTGACACTATCTGACAGAACTTTCTGGTAGACCTAATATTATGCGTTCTTTCCAACCTCATGTTTTCAAGAGGCCAGTTTAAATCCATTGTTTTTATAAATATTGCGATTTGTAACATTGATTTAAATCGTTGCAGTTTGTTGTTAACGGACTTTTTAACATGTTCTAATTATATTTTGTTTCTATTGTAATATTTCCTTAACACACCAGTTCTGCGTAACAGGTTTATACAATAAATGATGAATCAAAACATATTATGATATGTGGAGTACCAAAGCTTCAATTAGGAGAAGAGGTAAAGAAGCTTTTTGAGCCATATGGAGATATAAAAAAGATTCATGTAGTAACCGACTATCCCACAGAAGAATTTACAGAAGCTTATTACATGCAATATGCACGTATACAGAGTGCAAGGTTTATATTTGTTTTATTTTGCTGTTTCTGCTTAATTTAATGTTTATTACAAAACTTTTTTTCTTAACTATGTTTATAAACGGTATTATGCAGAATAGCAAAACGGTTTATTGATGGTAAAAATTTTTATGGAGGCTCGTTACACGTATTTTATGTACCTGAAGTGGAAACTGTAGCTGAAACTAAAGCTAAGCTTGCTCAACGTAGTAGAGAAGTAACTATACGCATAAAGAGAAATCAAAAAGATGCATTGAATCCCAACACAGATAAATTTGTTCCTGAGTATGTTATGAAACTGGTGCTCTATAGAAATTCATAGATTAATAGATAATTCATCAAGTATAAAATTGAATTTTAGGGAGCAATATCATAGAAAGAAGAGGACACCAGCATTACCATTAACGGAAGAACGTTTAATTAAACATTATCCTGGTGAAACATTAACTTCTATTTATAATGGTATTCCACAAAACATAGATCCAAGACCTGTATCTGAACCTAGTTTACCTTCAACATCAAGCAGTTATCAAGACAATCAATTTACATCTGACATACCACAAGCTCCGTATAATATAAATGAAGCTATCATTCAAGCAACAACAAGCAATGAAAAGTTGTCAAAGTTTGATAGTGTAAAAAATAAGAAGAGGAATTACAAAGGAAAGCCTATTGATTGTAATATAAAAAACAAAGTAGTAAGACCCTCAATTGTCAACACAAGCACTATAATAAATTGGGACTCCTCTGACAAAAAGGTTTTCAGTAATCCCAAAAAAGTCGACAGCAACATAACAATTAAATTGATTTCGAAAGATGATAATAATAAGAAGAGGATTGTAATAAAAGATCCTAAGTAAGTAACTGTTAATATTAAATTCGATATATGAATTCGCTAATCTTAAAATATTTTTTCAGTGTCTCCAAATTGGTACAACCAAGCAAAAAACTTCAACTTTCCATACAAGAAGCCAAATCCAGGATACGAGTGGCAATGCAAGCAAAAGAATCTGATATTTTGTTAGTAGCATAAGATAATAGTAATAATAATAAGTCAATTTGTTATAAAATTTATTATC